AAAAGTAAATAAAATATAACATATTGTTATATTTTATAATATATTCACTCAATTCTTAATATAAACAACATAATATCATGGTTTCATGTGCTAAAGCATTTGATCTTTGCACTTGTCTTAGATGGGGCTGGAGACTTTCGAACCAAATGCAAAGACAATTCCCTCGATAACTTAAATATCTTTTGAAATACGGCTTCCATTAATTCAACAGGATTTACCAAATCTCGCAAAAGTCTTCTCTGAATGTTTTCTTCATCCCTATCAATAAAATAATTTTGTTTACAAAAACATAACCTAAATAAATAATATACTATAATTAAAAATATCTTTAACAAACCTTCTAATAGCATCATTTAATTCTTCTAATAACTCATCGTTTACAATCCGGCCAAAATTCTGGACTAAATTGTTCATTTTATATTTTTATTAACTACACGTTATTCCCATCTACAAATAGTATGAGATTAAAATCGACTCTTTAAATTGAACCTGTTATCAAAGAATATAATATATTATGTTAGCAAGATAACGTAAAACGTTACCACATAACAGAGAGTTTTTAAGCCCCTTATTTCAGTAACGTTAAACGTTTTACCAAAGAATATAGACGCTTATATAAGCGTCTATATTCTTTGGTTTTACGTTATTCTGCTCATGCGCATTAACAGAAAAATAACGGATTACTTTATTAGAGGATAAGGTATTCCCTTATTTAGGTAAAGATAAGGTTAACGTTATTAAGGGATTACGTGTTTGTAATGTTGTCAAATGCCAGATATATAAATCATAAAAAACAAAAAAAGAGTCATATGAGCAGCTCTCTTTCCTTGTCTAACCAAAGATAACTATGATAGAATAAAAAAAATAGAAAATTTAGTTCAGCATCTTTCTCTTCAATTGTTTCCAACACAAAATGTAGTCTTGGTGCAACAGGTATTACAGGATCAAAAATATTGTGAAGAATTAAGCCTCTTATCAAATTGTAATCTATTACTTCTCTGTGTCTTCGTCATCTATTTTCTTAGATTATAGCAAATTATTCAAATAAAATAGGTTATAGAGTATTCAGGATTGAAAACAAAGTATCTGACCCTTGGCGGAATAAATTTAAACTAATATAAATGGTATAAACAAACCAGACAGCTGTTGATTTGAATAGAATTATTAAATTTTTTTAGTAAATTTCAACATTATGTCATTATGACTAAATGACAAAAATCAATAACCCTGCTATGACACAAATTGGAATGGACAGAATCCAAAGAAGAAATATACAGATATTTACATCACAATATTTTAAACTGTATTTAACATTATTGTAGGGAGAAATGGTGGAAAATTGTAGTAAAAATCATCCAAGTATATCAGCAATGTATTCCAGTATATATTTTTGTCCAGATTTATCTGAAATTAAACCATTTGGTATTGGTTGTCTGTATATACTATATATTATTTATCTATGTTTGGTTGTCTGATGAATGATTGTATTGGTCACTATATTTTGTAAATAAAAGATTTATTTTGTTGCAATAATCTATTATTAATAAAAAAACTACCTTGTGAATGCCTTTGTTTTTATTTAGGTAAAACATAAAGATCATTAAATGTTAAAATAAGTGAACAACAAATGTATAATATTAAAAAGTCAGTTCCAAACACTGAAGTTAAAATTTAAGAATTCATCACTTGAAAACTGCTTCCCCTTCAACCAATGGCCTCTGCTTCACCACCACAATACACAAAGATATCATTAAGGCTAATTTCCTTTTTTAAATGATAAAAATAACTCGTCTTAAACCAAACTAAACTTTGAAAAGCAATGGTAAACTCGACTGTAATATTTGTTTATACCATTTATATCGACCTATAACCATCGAGCAATAAGACAAAAGAGGAAATGTAAAGGAAGAAGGGGTAAACATATTGATAGACAGGAAGTGCCATCTTGAGAGGCCACTTTAGACAAGGATAGACAGTCTCTTTCCTTGTTTAAGAAGTCAAATTTAGTTTGGTTATGTTATTGTTTGTCCCCAATGACGTATAATATATAGACTCGGTGAACGCTTTAAAAAGTGTCCAAAACATGAATACCTTTGTTATTGTTTATTGTTTTGATACGAAGATGCACGAAGTTCATGATTTCTTACGAAGCATCACGAAGTTGATCTTGTGTTTGAAAACATCATGGACGTATGAAAACATTTTCTCCATTTTGTGTGACAAAATTTTATTTTAAATTGTTGAGAGTTATTTACTTACTATTTTAGTAAAATGCCATACTATTTTATCAATATAATTAGTTCTCTTATAGACGGGAGCAAAAAGAAATCATAAATATTTAATTTTAATTAAAAAAATAATTATTGTCATTAAACATATAAATGAACACGCCGCTGTTGTGATAAACATACCTTCTACCTTGAGCCGAGATCTTTCGGACACTCGATTCTATAGTGAGAATAGGGGACTGCGTAGTCTATATATTATACGTCATTGTTTGTCCCAACTGTCACATGAAATTTTATTTATATTGAAGTTTTTTACCAATTATGTCACTTTTTAGACTATTATCGTTAATATTTAATTAAAACTTTCTAGTCTGAAAAATATTTTATAGCTATTGTTAACAAATGTTGGAAAATTTAAATTTAGCGCCTTTGCATTTCCGGATGTGTCCGCCATCAGAGGCCACTTTTTTGGTCTCCTTTTTATAACGATTAGATTCCCTCTTTTGTCTTATTGCTCGATGCCTATAACTGCCGTTTTATAGGTTACGTTCGTCAAATGTCAATTAACGATAATCTGTCATAGCTTAATTTCCGAAAGGATTCAAAAACTATTTTAAGTAAAAACGTTATCCCTTATTTATTATTCAAGGCGCATGACAAGTATAACGTTTTACGTTTAACGTCCATCGAAAAATAAAGAGCCTAAAAACTCTCTAACGTTTTTTTTGACAAACGTTATCTGTGATACATCACATCAATTTTTAGAATTTAACGTAAATGCAGGTTAACGTGCACGTTATTTAACATTTATTTTATTTATAAAACATTTTTGTTTTGATACATCCATCCAATCACAGGGCTGAATGTTAAGATTCAAATTACGTCACAGGAGTACAGTCCGGCTTAATGTTCATTGGTTAGGCGGAAGAGGCAACCGGAATAAGTCTAGGAACCGTGGATAGTGCTGAAAAACTTCAAAGGCGGCATCTGAGAGTGGCCCTTCTGATTGTTTATTATTCTGTGGTAACGGCGTATTTGCTTGCACAAAAACTCTCTAATAACAAGATAGGATCTTCCCGTAGCTCAAAATCGGTCGGGTTCGCGCATGCCGTCATTGAAGAGTAGAATTTGAATTCTTGTTAAAGTTAAATGGGATTTGTATGCATTCTGTGATGAAATTACTAGACGAAATAAGTTAAGAGGTTTAATAATTACAATAATCGTACACATAAGGATATCTCCAAACTATTTATTAAAGATTATTTATTGATATATATATATACAAAAAACTGACATTTCGAACGTGCAACTCTCCAATGACGTCACAAAAACATGCGCAATATCTTATAGTCATAGTATCATGGATTGTATGATACTATAGGACGAACCATGATACTACGAATAACAAGATAGGGTCTTCCCGTAGCTCAAAATCGGTCGAGTTCGCGCATGCCGTCATTGGAGACTAGAATTTGAATTCTTGTTAAAGTTAAATGGGATTTGTATGCATTCTGTGATGAAATTACTAGACGAAATAAGTTAAGAGGTTTAATAATTACAATAATCGTACACATAAGGATATCTCCAAACTATTTATTAAAGATTATTTATTGATATATATACAAAAAACTGACATTGCGAACGTGCAACTCTCCAATGACGTCACAAAAACATGCGCAATATCTTATAGTCATAGTATCATGGATTGTATGATACTATAGGACGAACCATGATACTACGAATAACAAGATAGGATCTTCCCGTAGCTCAAAATCGGTCGGGTTCGCGCATGCCGTCATTGGAGACTATAATTTGAATTTTTGTTAAAGTTAAATGAGATTTGTATGCATTTTGTGATGAAATTACTAGACGAAAATAAGTTAAGAGGTTTAATAATTACAATAATCGTACACATAAGGATATCTCCAAACTATTTATTAAAGATTATTTATTGATATATACAAAAACTGACATTTCGAACGTGCAAGTCTCCAATGACGTCACAAAATCATGCGCAATATCTTATCTTATAGTCATAGTATCATGGGACGAACTATACTTCATCTAATTTAGATAACGACTTACGTCATTATCTACGTCAGAGATCGAATTTGACATAGTTGCCAAAGTAAAAAAAAATCCTGACTCCATTTTAAATCAAATAGATTACATAATTATTGCAAAAGTATTACCATCTCTTTACAACGACTATTTAAATTCTTACGTGACATTTTTGAAATAAAACACACTAATTTTGTTCTAAAAAGAACAGACTTTATTAGATAGTTAAAAATATAAAACAAGAGATATTTACTTTAAAATTCAAAATAATGAAGTACAAAAAGTGTCAACACCGCAAAACTGTCAAATAAGTGTTACCAAATTATGCCAAAATTTTACCTTCGTTCGATTACAGTTACAGTGTGTTCCGAACAAATGTTCTTGATAAAAACGTTTTATAATGCATTTATACAAATTAAATGAAACATATTATTGTGTATTTCTTCAAGTTAACATTAATAGAAATTTTTAAATATGATTTCTACGCGTATATAATAAAATATGTCTAGTGGCTGTAATGTCAGTGTACTCAGTAAAGTGGTCCTAAAAAAGAACACACCTACACTCTAAATATTTTGTGTTGGTATCATGTGACGCCACAGGCTATGACGCCGATGACGTGCATCGTTATATAAATTAGATGAAGTGTATATAACGCAAATTGCCATCTTAGCCATTTGTTTTATTTTATTTAACTTTTAAAAACTAGATGTCGCAATAAAAATTTATAAAGTGCCATAAGACAAAAAAAATATTTATGACAATTTTATTTTACCGGTACCCGTTATGACGTATACTAAGGATTACCTGAAGAATAAATTGTTAAAAGAACTGGATGCTTCTCATGTGGTGAGTACTATATTTTTTTAAATAAGAAAATCTGTCAAAAATTTGACCATAACCTCATTATCGATTTAGCCGATATGCTGCCACATCATTCTCAAAAATATTTTAAATTTGTATATTAATCAGATTATCGTCTTTACATTGATTTTAAAAGATGTACAATCACGACACAGTTCCATCTGTTCTTTGTAGTGTTAGTATAAAACCATACAGTTTGTGCAATGGTAAACAATAATGGTGCAATGTGCAATGATATTGATTAACCATACTTAGTGTATTTTACAAACCGTCCAATATTTTTAAAACGATGCACTTCAGAATAAGTTCCGAGACGTGGTTGGTAGTTTTTGGGACTTTGTTTTCAATATTGTTAAGAGCATGCACAAATCTGCATCCGCATTCTGGTGAGGCTACTCCTCCTATGTATGGTGATTATGAAGCTCAGCGTCACTGGATGGAGATCACTACAAATTTACCGATAAATCAATGGTATTGTAATACGACTAACAATGATTTAAATTATTGGGGGCTGGATTATCCACCCCTAACTGCATATCATATGTTTATTTGTGGAAAAGTAGCCAATTATTTAAATGAAAACTACACAAAATTGCATGATTCTAGAGGATATGAGAGTGATTCTCATAAGGTATTTATGAGGTACACAGTTATGCTTTCTGATGTATTTTTATACATACCAGCTCTGATTATTTATTACCAAACTTGTATCAAGAAGGGAGAATTGCTGGAAAATGGAGTGAAGAAAAAGATCCAGAGGTACCAGATCCCAAAGAAGTTTACAACAACCAAACCTATGACCCCTTCACTTTGTACCGTTCTTGGTTTATTATACCCAGGCATTATTCTTGTAGATCATGGACATTTTCAATATAATTCTATTTCATTAGGTTTTACAATATTGGCTATAACATATATACTAAAAGAGTGTGATATTTTAGCTTCCATTTTTTTCTGTCTGTCTTTAAACTACAAGCAGATGGAACTATATCATGCTATACCATTTTTCCTGTACTTATTGAGTACTTGTGTGCCTAAACCTGGCCAGAGAACTTTTTGGGGAATATTTAGGTTATTCAAAATTAGTTTAACCGTGATATTATGTTTTAGTCTCATTTGGCTACCATTCTTGTTTAAATTTGAACACTTATTACAAGTTCTGCATAGGTTATTTCCAGTAGCTAGGGGAGTTTTTGAGGATAAGGTTTCGAACATATGGTGTGCCTTAAATATTTTATTTAAATTTAAAAGCAGATTTACTAATTTTGAGATGATGAGAGTTTGCTTGTTTACTACATTTTTAGGTCTCTTGCCAAGTTCTTTGGATCTTTTTTTGAGACCAAATTTGAAAAAGTTTGTTCTAGCCCAAATTAATTCATCTTTAGCTTTCTTTTTATTTAGTTTTCAAGTACATGAGAAAACTATATTATTGGCAGCTGTACCTGTGTTGTTATATTTTCCATTTGCACCATTTATTTGTTATTGGTTCCTATGTATCTCACTTTTTAGTATGATTCCTCTTTTTTTAAAAGATAATTTAGTCATTGCTCTTATATCTCTTACCTTATTTTATTGTATTACATTTAGAGTGACTATAGAACACAACTATCATAGTATGTTAAATAACAGAGATGGTCTGAAGGAGTATTATAGAAGTCTTTTGCACTCTATACTAGATATAGAATATAAAAAAGCTTCACAGATAGGTATTATTCAGGCATCTTTACAACAAATTAGTAAAAATTCTGATGCTGTCAAGACTCTCATTTTCCATTGCGTGATGTTCTTTTCACTAACTGGTTGTCTTGTTTTGTTTTTAGCATGTTTGTTTTTCTGTCCCCCAGTAAGATATCCAGATTTATATGCTTTATTGATATCTGTTTATTCTTGTATTCATTTCTTAGGATTTTTTGTATATTTCAATATCAAACAATTAAAAATTCCTCAACAGTTTGAGGATATTAGGATTGATAAAGTGAAAAATTCATAGTTAGAATATGATTTTTCTATAATAAAGCAATACTTCTTAATTATATTTTCAGAAAGCCATAATTTAAATTGTTTAACTGATAAAATTAAATAATTCTGTACAATTCTGTTGGTTTTAAATAAAAAATTATTAAAAATGTCTTTTTGGCTTTATATTATCTTATTATTTATTTTTAAAATCCAGATAACAAAATACAGATGGACAATGTTTTTTTTCTTAATTGATGCAAAATATCTGAAAATTTCTAATTAGACTAATTTGATTGATACAAAAATGAATTTCATGTCATTTTTTTTAATATCTACGAGCCCTAATACTTAAATGTTCAGACACATGAAGTTTTATTAAAAACATTCGTCTTCACTACCTGGCTTATTGAATTAAAGAATGAGGTCAACATTACATTAAAGTCTGTCATTAATAATAAAATATTGAATTGCAGTGTTGGTGGAAAAATAAACAAAATTACCACATAATATCGTGGCAACTAAATGTTTAAACGATTCAAGAAATTACTATTTGAATATGTGGTTACATACCCCATATTTGTACCTTTACAACCGCTCGCGGCAATACTGTCTAGCTTTGTCCTTACTAAGATTGACACAAGTCATGGTAGAAACTATCCCATAATTTTCCTAATTTTCTCTTTAAGTCGGCAGTGGTTTTCTGTGGTTTATTTTGCAATTTCTGTTTTATCTTAATAAAGTCATAAAGTCTCAATAACAGTAAGGTCTGGACTATTCAAAGATTATGAGAGGACTTATAAAAGGGCTAAATACAATATTATTAAAGATGTCTGTGTTTATATCTTATTATTTTTTTTTTAATCCAGATAATAAAATTTAGGTGGAGGACAAAGTTTTTGTTCTTAATTGATTCAAAATATCTGAAAATTTTCAAATGAATAATTTGAATGATACACAAACTAATTTCATGTCCTTTTTTAATATCTATGAGCTCTAACAACTAAATGTTCAGACACATGAAGTTTTATTAAAAACATTCATCTTCATAACCTTGCTTATTAAATTAAAGAAAGAGATCAACATTACAATAAAGTCTATCATTAATAATAAAATATTGAATTGGCTTGGTTTCTATAAACTTTTAATTTCATTGTTGGCAGAAAAATAAACAAAAATATTGCTAATATCATGGCAACTAAATGTTCAGACAATTCATAAAATTACTATTTTAATATGGGATTACATCGTTACATGCCTTTTGAACTGTGGCAATATTGTCTGCAGTGTTCTTACTAAGCATTGACACATGTCATGGTCCAAACTATCTCATAATTTACCTAATTTTCTCTTTAACTCGGCAATGGTTTTCTGGGGATCATTATGCAATTTCTGTTTCATCTTATGGCCTAAATAACATTAAGGTTCCACTGTTCAAAGGCTATTAGAGGACTTTAATATTATTGTCTTCAAACCGTTTTTTAGTTATTTTAGCTGTATGATATGCAGCACTGCCCTGCTGCAATATAAAATATTCAAGTCCGGGTGACAATCATTTATTATTTAGACTATTTTTCAAAATTTCTTGACACTTTGCTGCGTTAATTGCAAATTCCACCACCTCATATCTTCCTAGACATTCCTTTGGGTAGCTTCCTTTTTATTACCCTGACAGTATTTTTTAATTATCAACTGATGAAATTTAGTATGTGTCACACTTTCTCTGGTCATTTTTGAATAAATACTGTATCAGAGCTTTTCTTTTGAAGTTTTTTATAAGTAACTGTCAAGAAAATTTGAGTCAATTATTTATTTTAAACTTGGTAGCTAGGTAATTCCCAACATTTAGTTTCTTTTATTAAATCTCACCCATAATGAAGAATCCTAAAAAATGTTTTCCTAAATTTTAAACTGTTTGCCATTTTGTCTAGTATTCGTTATTTGTCATAGTGTTCAAGTAATCAAATGTTTACGACATTAGTTAATGTGTATATAGATTCGAGTATTCAACAATATCTTATGTTGCCACTAAGTATATTATGCAATATTTTCGTTTATATTTTCGCCACTACTGCAATTCAAAGTTTATAGAAAAGGCCATTTAAATATTTTATTATTGGAATCATAGCTTTCTTATCGCAGGCTATGCATGAAAAAAAAAATAAAACTAACTTCTGTAAGGATACATCGCACGAACACACACTACATGGAGCAGTAAAGGCAGTGCAATGCGTGTTTATTAGTAAAATAAAAAAAAGAAATAAAATAAAATTTACTATTTTTGATGGGAATACGCCACAATTTAAATTTAAAATAAGTTTATTTTTATATATTCTATGAAATACAATCTAATCATATTGAATTGAATCGAATCAAACATCTTAAATATCCAACTCAATAAAGAGCAATAAACGAGAGTAGACATAACTTTCAGTGTTGCAAGATGAATAAGTTGTATAGTAGTTCTTAAAATTACAAAATTCTTTGGACAATTCCATATATCATACATGCTATTGTTGATTTAAGTATTTATATTTTGGAAATGTATGTTATTTTATTGAATTATTAATATATTATCAATGAATTAACACACATTTCCAAAACATGCCTCTTGAATAAATATAAATAACTTTTAAATAATATAACACATCACATTTAATATCAACAAACAATTTACACAATACCTACATTCCTAGTCTAGTTGATAATATCTTTTCCTATCAAGAACTTTTCCTTTATTTGTTAAATAGTTGCAGTAAAACCGATGATCACCTGTCACTAGTTTACCATAACATTTTTTAACTACATTTTCTCAAACATGAAATAATAATCCTTGTATTGTATTGTAATTAATTTTAAAGTCATATTTAATAATCACACATGTAATATTGACATTATTGCTGTATATTCTGTACCAGACAGTACCCTAATACGGGTTATTATATTTCAGCATTTAGTTTACCATGTACCTTTAGTTGACTTGAAGATGCCTAGCAAATTATAGTATATGAAACCTATCATTGGTAGTA